GGAATAGTGACGGTGGCAATAGGGGTCTGGTTTTGTCCGCAGTCACATTTACAGTGACATGGAATAGAGCTGGCAAGAACGGTTACCGTCACCATCGTGCCATTCTTGTCAGCCGGCGAAGTTCCACTGCCGAAATAAGTTGGGACACCAGTTGTCATGGCTGTCGAATTCAGGAACCCAACTGAGCCGGAGCCAAGGGCAGTAGTGGTCGCGGTCGCGGTCACAGGCGCAATCAAACTCACGTCACTAGTTGAAACATGAGAACTGTCAGAAGCTTTAGTTTCAGTCGCGGTAAAAGGCGCGGGGAAGTCTCCAGTATCTGTCACGATCAAAATTGCCGGGAAAATCCCGAGAGTGGAATCATCGCCCGTGGCTGGGACAAGCACTGTGGCCGAGGTGACAGTACTAGTTTCATGTAAGGATTTTGTTTCTGTGCAAGACGCGCCTGTAGGTGTCGGAGAGCCCATAAGCGTGCAACCTGAGGTGAAGTCAAATCTGTAGCCGTTGGCAACCATGTCATATGCTATATCTACAAGTCAGTATCATGTCCTGTCTGGGAGGCGGTGGGGCTCCTATATTCTTACTGCTAGGTCCATAGATGACAGTCAGATCTGGCGTAAATCTGTAGCAGGTTGTTTGGTCCGACAGACAGTTGATTCCGTAGGTTGTTGTTGCGTCTTTCTGTGTTGTTGTTAGTGATTAATTACAGGAGAAGCAGACGAGATACATACAGCGCCTATCACCTTGCCTCCATAGCCGTGGAAGTAATCAGGTGCATCTGTGACCCATGGAATCGTCTGTATGATGTTAGTTTTCTGGGTATCTTGGTGACTTTGTAGGAGGTAAACAAACAATTGTCGCGTCTTCGTGGGCAAACCCGAGAGCAGCCCAGCAGAGTTGGATCACCAACGCGAGGAGATATCTGAATGACATCCTGTAGATTACCGAGGAGAGCTTGAGAAGAGTTTCTTGGAGAAGGGAATTTTCAGCAGAAGAGATATTCTGAGACGCGAGGGTTTTGGAATGAAGTTTTGAAATGAGAAGCCATGTAGATCAGAAACAATGTAGTATAAACAATCGAACAATGTGAATGGAAAGAACAATAGACCGAATGATTGGAAAGAGCGAATCACAGTTAGATGCCTGGCCAGTAAGGCGTACATTAGTTAACTAGTTTAGTATAACTGGTTATAGTACATAGTAACCCTGAAGAGTTCTAGGAAAGAGGCCTTGACATTACTTTTGTCTATGCAAAACAGCCCATTCCTGCTTAACTGAAATCCCCCAACCTCCTTTTTGCGTCTGATCCATATCTCTGCTCTCCCCCGCCTCAAGAGAATCTTCGCTCCCTCGACGAATCTCTCTAGTCTCTGTGGGGTTTTGGACTGCGACGCCGACCTTATGCTTTGGCCCAACCGGCCGCAAACACAGCTCACTCGAGTCATCTTTAAGCGGCTGGAACTCGTCATCACCAGTAGACCTAGATCTTCCAGATGGGGGAGAAGACTTATTTGATGGACGAGCTGTCACCTCAGGTGTGTATTTTGAACGTCCCAGGAGGGGGCGCATCATAGGAACCGAAGCAAGGATAACGGCGAGACAGGGCTCCAGGCCACTGAAAATGTTGGCATGGGGAATCGAGTACGTAATGTCGGCGAAGTCCATTGTGGAGAGTATGGAGATACGAAGAATGCTGATGATGCATGTGCTATACTCCAGATTAGCAAAGACCCTTTCGTGTTTGGCTTTACACCGGTTGCCGTGCAGATCTTACACTGCTCCCAGGCCGAAGATAGTGATGAATGTCACTTTCTTATACGTGGCCATTTGCAGACTATACAGCAGAGGCATAGGTGTCACCAGCACAACAACATCGGTGAGGAGATTTATGACTCCCGTCACCGTGAAGGAGGTAACCTGGTTTCCACACGATCCCCCAGGAATAGTCTGGTCCCAGTTGTATGCAAACGGCCGACATATCAGACACCCGGCCAGTATTGTTCCAATAGTCCAGGCTACAATCACACTCATTGTTGTCCAGCAAATCCGCACGACCCAAGTGACGGGGAAGAGACTAAGATATAAGGACAAGATGGAGATTTTCGTACAGCTGAGACTCAGAACCCAAAGAAATTGCAATGGGACAATCAGCTGGAGGAGTTTGGTGATAGGGCCAAGTCCATACTTGGCTGCAATTGTAGTGACATGATCATAACCGATGCCCGCTTGTATCACGCCGGTGATGCTGATGGACTGGAGGCCGACGGCAAAGATCTGTATTTGTTAGTAAAGATTTCGACTTGGTTAGGAAAATACTCACAACGGCAGCAATTATGAAATAGTCACTTGTGATCCATCTCTTATCTGCAAGATGGTGAGCTAGAAGTCGCAGGCATACTGCTACCACTGCTAGGATGGAGAAAGAGATAGCTACGCCCAAGACCTGCCTTTGGGCTGGCGTCTCTATAGGAAATGTAACAACCATCTTCCATCTCGCAGGTGGGGAAAGAAAACAATCTAAATCAATCCGGGGACAATATTAAATAGGGAGTTTGAAACCAATACACATGGCGCTAGCACGGCATCTCAAAGCTAGCCCGGGGGTCGAAATCCTGAAGCGCACCAGGGGCAATGTCTGTTCAGCCCCCAATCTTTAGCAGTAATAATGCACGGAGGACATCTTGAGGGAATATGTGATAGTGAGCAAGAACCAGTCACATGGCGAATTCTTCTGCACAAATTTGCAGTTCAAATTAAGTGGAGGTTGGAAGGCCCAGCATATCCAGATTAACAACAGTATTATTATCGAGTCTAATGAAAAACAATTTGATTCTTCTGCATATGACAGGGAAACGTCTCCTCATTATTAGGACGCCGATTGGTGCACCAAGTGCCGCTTGTGCACTAATAAGGAATCCGTCTATAGTCCGGTATTTTAGTAGCGTGTTTGAGAACAAACCATTGGCCTAGCATAAGTAATCGAGCTTGGCGCAGTAACCGAATTATGTATCATGTTTGCGCTATGTAAAACTGCTTCCCCCTTTCCTCCGCAGTGCATCTGATATGTCAAACGTGGTTTTCACCCCTGTATTTCTGTGATATGGCTGCTACTCTTATTGTTGAGGTGACGGTCGCGGTCGCGATAGGTCTATTGACACTGCTCTACATTGTCATAGGAAAAACGAAGGAAGAAAAGAAACCTCTCCTCAAGCTTCCCCTCATCGGTGACCTCCATAGCTCCCCCATTGTGAAACCGCTTTTGAACTGGGACTCATGGACAAGGGAAAATGGCCCCATTGCGGTACCGAAGCTCTTTGGGCTCATACCCATTGTAGTGTTGAATTCATATGAGGCTGTGACCGAGTTGTTCAGCCGCCGCAGCCAGTGGTACAGCAATCGTCCGCCCTCTGTCAGCATGGAAATGATCACAGGGGCTGAGCCTGGGCAGTCGAAGTTTACTCTGATGCACGATTACGACGATCACCTCAAGTTCCACCACCGCATCCTGGCCCCCAGTCTGGGCGCTCTAGCCGCCCCACAGTATCACCCCTTAATGGAGCTCGAGTCTAAACAGCTATTATTCGATCTCTTAAATGCTGCACAGCAGTCTTCCCGAGGAATCAGCACAGGAACCATCTATCCACTTCTTGAGCGCACTCAATCGAGTGTTATACTTGCTCTGCATTATGGCTTGCGCATCCCAAGTTTTGAAGAACACATCTTGCATGAGATCATTGACATCCAGACCCAAGTAACCCACCTCGCTGCAAACCCCGGCCTTCCAGATATTATCCCGCCTCTGCGCCACCTGCCCGCATTTTTGTCACCCTGGAAACGTGCGGCTGACAAGCTGTACGCCACACAGGTGGACCTCTACATGCGGCTGTTCCGGCACGGGAGGGACTCGGCAGGCTGGAACTCTACCAAGCAGGCCATCGCTACAGCGGAGAAGTACTCTGAAGATGGTGTCCCCGACCTCGATCTCGCTTTTACTCTCGCGACCTCTATCCAGGGAGGTATGGAGACTTCACCGCGGCAGCTACTGTGGTTGTTCATTGCAGCGTTGCACCAACCGTCCTTTATGTCACGGGCGCACGCCTTGCTTGACGAGGTCGTCGGGCGTGACCGGCTACCACAGTTCTCGGACCGCGCAGAGCTCGCTTTTATTGACGCTATTATGCATGAACTTTTCCGTTGGCGGCCTATCTCGCCGGGATCAATTCCCCGCAGGGCGGACCGGGATGACGAGTTCAATGGTGTCAAGATTAAAAGGGGAGTCACTCTCATGGCCAATGCCTGGGCCATCGGTCGAGACGAAAAAGTCTTTGATCCCGCCCTGGGAGACCCTCAGGAGTTCGTGCCTGAGCGGTGGCTCCGGCGGGATGATGGCGGAGAGGAAAGACTGCGAACGGACCTTCCGTTGCCTGTCTTCGGGCAAGGCCGCCGAATCTGCCAAGGAAAGAAGGTTGCTACGGATGGATCTTTCATGCATGTTGCTTGTCTGCTGTGGGCGTTTGATATCGAGCCCGCGGATGGAGAAGAGGTGGATCCATGGGCGATGGTCGTGGCAGGATTCATGACAATGCCGAGGGAGCTCAAATTTAAACTCCGGCCCAGGGGCGACTGGGTACTGGATGTTATTAAGAAAGAGTGGGAGACGGCGGAGAAAAGTCTCGGAAAGGTTATGGGAACTAGTGTTGATGTTGAAGATAAATGATAGGATGTTAAACGAACGTGTGATGTTACAATTATATATATCCGAATTCACCCTGCAGTACGGGCGTACAGATAGCTTTTTCCAGCGCGTGTGGACTATTACAGATTAGACAACCCAGATACCTTTACGGCAAGGTCTCGATTCGGGAATACAAGGCTATCTCTTGTCGTTCGGGATTGGAAACCACACGTCGGGCCGAGTTTGCACCAACCTTGGGAACCTTCCAAGGTTGGAGGATCGTCCCTTGAATCATCCCTGTCTTCTGTAGTGTGCATGCTAGTCCTTATTTATCCTCTCTTCGAACTTCCGCGACAAGTTCGAGCTCATGATCACTGCTACGTTCATCGTTTCCATCATCGCGCTTCGTCTTTATACCTTGCCAGGCGCACAGCACCGCGCCTAGACTCGAGACCGTTCCCAGTATAAGCCCAACACGGAAAATGTCTTTGGTCGCCACGGGATAGACCGCCCGCATTTCTGGAGACGAGCCCATCGATACAACTTTCAGAACATATTTTAGGATCAGGTTTAGGGCCAGTGCTTTTATTGCCTTGCTAATGTTTTCCAGGAAAACTGCCTGCGCAACGGATATGAAGAGGGCTCGCCGAGCATCTGCGCGAACAGGACCAGGTCGATACCGGTTGCAACATCATTTTCAGGAAGCGTCCTTCTGTACGCTCTAAGCTTTGGGATTAGATGTCACGCAGTCAACCGCCATCTGGACCTCATGGAAGGCAAAGAGAACAGTGGACAACTTTATCAAAATGGTGATTAAGAAGTTATGAGACGACGAAACCCTTCGACACGAGCTACCTCACTTCAATGATAGTAGAAAAGCCTTTCAGGTTGGGCTAGGTTAAGATATATGGGTGGAAACTCTTATTTTTTCAATACTCGGGAGAAACGGCCCCTTTGCTCTGCTAGAGTAGAAAGTAGGCCAGACTGGCTCACATACATTTATCACATTTCCAGGATCTCTGAACTGTGTTTCCTTCGTTTACAGAAGCTTCCAACAAAAATCCTATCTAATCGTCCAGGCCGAAGAAACCTGATTGATACCAACCTTGACATGCTGGGTGTCTCCTCCCACGGAGAAGATCTGAGCATAAGTCGCATTATTGCTCGGGAATATTTGAGCGGTGATTGTAGTTTCGCCCTGGCCTCCGAAGACTTCGACACTGGACCAGTCTACATAAATACGCATGTTGATTTTGCCCTTGGCATCAGCAGCTAGTGGAGCGTAATAAGTGTCTGCGAATGTGTCGTCGAATGAAACATTACCAGATTGGGTCCGGTCGATGAAGAGCCTTTTGGTTGAGAAGTCATAGCCGACTCTTGTCTGTTCCTTGAGGTCTGGAGTAGCCCGAACAATAATTCCGAACTGAGAAGATCCTGATACGGCTGGTGCCCGGTCAGAGAAACTTAATTCAACCTGCAGCGCCTTTCCAACATCACCTAGTGATTTCGTCCCTCCAGTGACGGAAGACCATGACTGGTCAAGGCCTTTGTGGCTCACGAGGGAGCCCCAATTTTCCGTGGGATCCTGTACGAGGGTAGCCTTTCCGTTAATCCTCTTGAGAGAGAATTTACGGGGAGTTGACATGGCACCGCACCAAGGGTCAGTAGGGATCAGTGAAGCGTATTGCCAATTATTCATCCACCCAATAGCAACATGCTCATCCGAAGGTAGTCCATTGTAGACCTGGGCTGCGTAGAAGTCTGGCCCCCAGTCCACCCAGTTGGCTACTTGGCTTGGCGCCGATGAGTTTGAAAAGGAAGTTTGGTCGACACTGATACTGTCGGTGTCTGCGATGAAGGTGGTTCCATCGAAGTTTCCAACGACATACTGAGTACCTGAGCCGATGGTTCCAGGGGGCCCACCAGGATTGAGTCCCACCATTACAACCCATTTCACATTGGCATCATTTCCATCGACAGGGAGTGGGAAGAGATTCGGGCACTCCCACGCACCGCCGACAGCATTCACGGGCCCGAACTCACTAGCAACAGCCCAGTCCTTAAGGTCTTTTGATGTGTAAATCAGAAGCTTGTGAAGCACTGGCAAAGACAGGACAGCAATCCATTTCTTTGTCGGTTTGTGCCAAAAGATATAGGGGTCACGGAAGTTGAGAGACTGATCTGAATATGCGGTAGGTGGGTCCAGAATGACCGGGTTCACTGCATCATACGTGGTCCAGGTCATGCCGTCGTCAAGGCTGTATGCAATTGACTGAGATTGCTGGTTTTTTTGGACCTTCTTTCCACTTGGCAGAGTCTGTGCATATTTATACTAAATAATAAAATGTGTCAATTGCATCAAAACAGGAAGTAGATGGCATTTAAAGAACCTACATTAGAAGTATACATGGCAACCAAGGGAATCTTTCCATTGTGACCAAAGCCACTTGTATTGTCAACATCAGCCACGGCAGATCCGGACCAGAACAGCTCCGTGACGTTGGTAGGGTATCCGCGGGCGAGGAGGGCGATGGGCTGTTGCTCCCAGTGGGTTAAGTCCGAACTGGTGGCATGGCCCCATGACGTAGCCGACCCGTTTGGATCATACTGATAAAACAGGTGGTAGATACCTTTGTAATACAAGAGGCCATTAGGGTCGTTCATGAAGTGTTTCGGAGGCGTAAAGTGATACTGGGGACGGTAAAGCTCAGTGTAGGTAGGATTCTGCGCAGATACCGCCTGGAATACGCCGAGTCCTTGAAGGAGGGCCATAAGGATAACAATCATGACGAGGTGTTAGAAGATGCAGGGGTTCTGGTGGTAAAATAATTAGCAAATAAAAGGCTGGATGCTGGCAAAATGCAGCGACGACATGGTCCCTTTTATATGCTACTGATCATTAAAGCTTTCCCCCTCACTCTCGTCCCCGTATGCCCTGTATTCCCTAAATACTTGGTGACGTGGTTAAGGCTCTAGATACTATACCTACACAGCACACCGGGTTTCGTTTCTTAAGGGAAATACAACGATAATTACGGCAGGGTAATTTGAAAATCCGTCGCTAAGGCCTCGGAAGGTCCACCTTCGTTCATAACCCAAAGCTAGTATTTTCTAAAGTGCTGGTTTCGGTCCATAGGCGTGATTTCGCTCGAGGGATCACGGAAGGGTCCCCAACCTCCGTGATGGTTTCTCATTTTCCTTGTATTATTATTGATACTTCATGTCTGCTATGTGTGGGCTCTCCAAATATTTGCCCATCCTGTTAACTCTAACTCCTAAAAGGATCGTGATGGGCTGGACATTCACGAGCCTCTCTTCAAAAACGCGGCCAATCCACCTACACTGGACCCATGAAAACTTACCCCAATGCAGATCCCACTTCTATCTTTTGGCAGATCGTGGACAATATGAGTCCAGAAATCAGAATATTGATCGTCTTTAACTCCTTGACTAAAGCGGTATATTCTGTTTCGGGCATTTTGTTACCCCGCATACTCCGGTGCCGGGCTCCCGATCGGTGGCCAAGACGGATTTTCAACGGGATTTATTGCGGTATCTTCCTAATTAGGACGTAATACCCGCCTAGGCCCGAAGGGGTGAAGGTCGCGAGGTTGGTGTGGCCGTGACCGAAGTGTGACAAGTCGATACCTGACATCCAGACCAGGGGCAGTCCACCGCTGACCGATGACAACCAACGTCAGCCAGCTATGGGCCCGGAGACTCATCTAATGAGCTGTATCAGTTAAATTATCTCAAGATGTCTTCGAACGATCTATCAGCCTCAAGGATCTCACTCAAGGATCTCAATCACCGCGACCCGCTCTGATGATTGGTCGCTGAGGTTCAACCTCATTAAGGTTAATGCTCAGAATAAATGCATATGGGGTTATATTAATTCTAGTCTCGAGCACGAACAAAGCCTGAACACCCAAAACGATCAATCGACGTTCTCAATAGAGAGTTGATCACACCCCAGAACAATGTCAGTTGTAAGGACTATGAACTACTGGGAGTGCTTCGGAACCTGCGGGTATCTCTAAAACCTCTAGAACCTCTGAGCCTTCCAGCACGTCGAAACCGACCACCAGAAGCACCAGCAGTGTGGCTTCGTCGCCTAGTCCGGAAAAGAATACATCATATACTTCATCTGACTATGCCAAGAGCGGTGACCACTATGTTCACCATGATCCAGTCTTGGCCCAAACTGTTCACTGATCACCGCACTTATCTAGTGGCAATATTCTGGGCCTCGACCTGTTCCGTAAGTCCTCCAAAACATCTTTCATCTCTAGGGTCTAAAACTCTTATGCAGAGGTCTTCTGACTATTCGTGGAAAAACGAGGCCGAGGATTCATTGTTCAACCAACTGGACAATAGTGATCTCGAGGAGTTGACCACCTACTCGAAGTCAATTGGAGCTGACAATGAGTTCATTACATAAACTATGCCAATAGCAACCAAAATCGTCTGTCCACTTACGGCCCCGAGAACGTAGAGTTTATTAGGACTGTTGCTAAAAAGTACGACCAAACCGGTGTTTTCCAGAAGCCAGGTGCCCGGTGAGTTCAAGATCAGCACTGTGGTCAATGAGCAGGAAATTGGGGAGGGATCGGGGAATTCGAGAGTATTTTGTCAATTTTCTACGACTTACACTTAACACATGCAATATAAGAAGCAGCAGTCTACAGCGTAAAAAGCCTGCATTAATCCCCACTATACTCACGCTTCCGCTGGGCGCCTCTTCCTATCAATCGAGGAACCATTAGGTGGGTTCACATCCCGTATCTTCACTTTAATCCCTGCGCGCATATGTGGCAGTCCATTATGTCGATCTTGCCAAGCCTCGGTAAACAATGGCTATGCGGAGCCGAAGGATCGTGGGCGCAGTAGGGTACCTGCAATAGGAATATCCGAAATTGCTATGTGGAGCTTATCCCAGACCAGGAACTGATAGTAAAGATCCATAAGCGGGTGGCACACACCATCGTGTAGCATCTGCGACTCAGATTTTACTATCTTGGCCCTGAGCCACGATTAGTGGCCAATGACAGCGGACCTATGCAAGAATCGAATGCGATGCACTATTGGCGAATGGATAATCTTATTCACAAGTAACTTTTATCTATATGAGCCGTTCTATTGAGAATTGACCATGCTATTTCAGACTTTTGCTGGTAACGATTGTCACCTCTGCACTAGTGGTTGCGAAATTGAGTCTCGTTTCCCTCTACCATAGAATCACGGAAAGCATGAGGCTTACAATTGGGCACTTCACATCATATCGGCTCTCATATACGGGTAAAGCCTTGCCCTTACACTTGCATTGACTTCCGCATGCAATCTTGTCGTAGCGACCTGGGATTTGAGCGTCACAGAGGGAACATGCATCAGCCGCGAGGCCTTGTACATCGCAACCGGATGGATATCGTCGCATATTTAGCATTGAGCCTTCCCTCTATCCTGTTAGTGGTAAGCCTTCAGCTTACTCCTTGGAGCAACGCTAGTTCTCTTCCTGGATGCCTCGATATCACTCATGATCCGGCCTATCCACAGCTCTGGCTGTGAATATTTCCCAACCTTGGCGATATGTGTTTTGAGCTAACCAGAATACCTTTCTCCAGTAACGTGGAAGCAAATCCGATCGATGTCCGTCTATACATCACGCCCTTGGATGGAGGGATGGGTGAGATAGGTAGCAGTGCATGCCGCTATTTCACACACAATTCGCGCGGTGCTTCTTCCAACCGTTTCAAGATGACAGGATCTCATCAACGGCGTGATATCGCACATATAGAAAACCGCTAGATTGTGTGTAGCCGACTGCGCATAATCAAATAGGTTCAATGGAAAATGACGGAGGCGCGGGTGGATGAAGATTCTGGTGGTTTTACCGGGCGAAAGCCTGCCCGGATACTAAGCCTTGGGGGGGGGGGGTTGTGAATTTTAGAATTGTTTAGGCCTTTTGGGGTGCCTCAGGTGCCTAAAATGCAAGAGAGCATCCTATAAATGTTGGTGGGTAGGGTCTTCTTTATGGTCGCTGTCGAATGATCGGCGTGGAGGGGACGATGTTTCGATATTAATATGAATGGGTTATTATTTGGTGGTAAAAAACCTGGGAATGAAAAAAGTGCAGATATCAATTGATTCATTGAGTCCGGGAATCGAACGCCTAGCTTCGGGATCAAGATATTCATTCTGCTGTCGTTCCTTCCTAAACTGTGTGTCTGAATAGCTTCATATTTTGACTGTATATGTATGTACTCTCCAGGCAAATTGATTATCAACCACCACCAACAGGTATTCAAATTAGTTTCAAACTTAATAGGCAGCTTGCTGACCTTCTCTAGACTTTCCCTTTGGTTTTTTACCCTATCACATCGCCGCCAAGGCAGGAAATTTACGTTCTAATATTCTCTAGTGACATCTCTCTTAAGTTTTCATCCTATATGTGGAAGACAACGACTAATATTTCAACCAGCCCCCCCCCCCAGTGGCCCAGCGGTATTATGGCCGGGGCATCCCACACCAGGATGTCGCAACGGGTTTTACTCGCTCCCCACTGTCGGTTGGACTCCTATATGCTGAAGCTCTCCCGAAGCACTACACTAGGCAAACCCCCCGCGGAAGGGTATAGTCCCCCGTTACTTAGGGGGGGAGGCCGTAGTTAGTACGGTGAGTGGAGATATATAGGGGAATGGCCGGAGGAGAGGACCATGGACATTGAGAGACCAGACTCTGTCCATACCCTCCTGAGGTCTAGGAACGGTCTAGATTAATGGGGACCTTTTTTTTGATGTTATTCAACTTTTACCGTACCTTCCTTTTTTTCCACCTTGATGATGTCTCTTCCAAGGCTCTGTTTTTGTCTTGACGCTATCTATCACATCTTGGTTTAAGGTCCCCCCTCTCGCCCGCTGTTCCATCCGTGAAGCTAAGCTGTTTACCTTCCTCCCACCCTGACGTTCAATCTCATCATTATTGCCCAACAATGTTCATTTTTCTTCCTTCCCAACATCGTCTCCATCTTGATGCTCCGAGTCGTGCTTTTCCCGCCAGTGGACTTCGGGAGGTGTGTTGTTCAGCTCCATATTCATCTTTCTCCTCTATCGTGAATGGACCTCGGGCTTTCCAAGGTCCTTTATCTTCCTCCTCACTGTACAAATTTGTGATGTTTTCTGGGTGTTGAGCGCTGCTTACTTCCGTTCCAGTTCCCATATTTCCTTTGCATGCTGATGCTATATTCCCGGGTATTCGCTCTCGTCTCCATTTCCAGTATAGCTCGCCGTTCAACCATTGTCACTATTCCCCGCACGCGCTACATGCTATAGGTCCCACAAGCAAAGAGTACGCCACATGATTTAATGTTTAATCATTCCTTGCCGCTTGCCCCTGAGGGACCACGGCGCTGATATATATAGCGAGGACTGTTTGATTGAATAGTTCACACGGATGGACCTCGGCAATTTTCTGATTGGTAGAAATTCTACATCCACATACTTCGATTCCACGGCAGTCAACGCTTTGATCACACATAGCAGCGATAACTGCATGAACTCAGCTTGGGAACTTATGCCTGGCCAAGGCATAGATATGAGTGAACTTTCCTATCTTCAAGAGCGATGTTCACAATATTACCCAGTCGAAAAGCTACAGACGCATCCAATGTAATGCCAGAATGGCCGAGAGTCTTTGCAACTTTAACAGTGAGTTTCAAAGACTGGATGGGCAGCTCCGGAACCCAAAAAGTCTCTCAGGTCGGCTGAACGTCGACAGGCTACAAGGAATCGGTTACCAGGATCTAGGTGGTGCAACATTATATCTCAGAAATATACGTTTGTGCTGAGGCTAGCAATCTGTTTACGTGTTAGAGGATGTCCCAGTACCATGGGCGCGGAGGACTCGATGTCGTGATTCGTGATTGGAGGATTCTTTGTGAGGAGACTTTCTATGTCATACGTGGTAGACCCAAGCCTAAAGTGGACTCCACGCGGTGTATAGTATCCAATCAGCATGCGGCCCAGCCTACCGGACGAGTTCTGAACTATACCAGCTGCCACCTGGCTCGGATTCGACTGTACGGCCGGGGCTGCGATCACCGCAGATACGAGTGACACCCACATGGCCGATAGATTGCTTGGGCATCTACGGTCTACTGTTTAGAGATACTCGGTCGATAGGCAAAATGGCTCTCGTGATCGGATGTGTCACATCTCATGGTATATAGCTAGGAAGTATGATATTTTTGCAAATCTACCTGAATGAATGACTTTAATTCTAAACTCACCGAAGAACTACAATTTGACATTTAGTCCACTCCGGTAGAAATGTGGATTAGGATGAAGAAATTGGCCGAGTCGCCGTCGGCTTTGCGACGAATGGTCAGCTCCAAACGGAAATATGTATTCAAGGAATGTCATGGTAGGCCAAGCAAGGTGAGAATTTTCAGGCCAAAGGGAATAGAAACCATGGTGATATATACATTACAAGTTCAAGCTTTGATCCATCGAATGTTCAGTAGACGTAACGGAAGGAAGGGTTCTCCTTGTCAGTGAGCCCAGACCATTTGGTTTCGTCGACGCCGTTCTCATCAACGCGCTTTGTCTGGTCTCTTTGACGGTTTTGCCACTTGTAATAGATGAAGAGCACCACAGATAGTACAGCCGCCGCAGCCTGCGTTGCAAGAACAGCAATCTTGGCCGGTTGGTATTGCGGTGCATCGCGTGCCTGGAATGTTTGTGGGCCAATGATGTTTCCGACCGAAAAGGAACCAGCAACAAGAGCACTAGCAAATGCACGCTTGGTATGTCCAGCGCAGTTGGCCATGGTCCACTGGTATAGAATGGGAAGAGTTGCTACAATTGCGTTGACAAGATAAATGCCGATCAGGACACCGGCCTTGTTGGTTTTAGGCAAGAAGGATAGTAATGCTCCGCCGATGATTCCAGGAATGGTACAGAGTACATTCCAGGCCCAGCGATTGGAAGTTTTCCGGATACCAAAACCCACGAGAAGGGTGAAAAATATACTAACAATGCCGCCAGGTGTATTGAGAAGGGCTGAGATGGGACCCGAAAAACCAAATCCGGCAATTAAAGTCGAGGAATATGTCGTCACCACACCACTTGACACGGATATCTATTCAACATTGGTCAATAAAACTGCAGGGGATATTTGAAGCAAGGGGTGACCGTCGGAATGTGAGACACACCAGAATTGTTATCACAGTCAGGAGCCAAAGCTGAATATCGAGGACGGCCTCCCAAATTTGTTTCAGGTTCAAAGTTGTGCTCCATACTCCAGTCTGGTTTTCACTGACGTGTTGAAGGAGGGCCACCTTTTCGCTATCTGACAACCAGGGTGCCTTCATCGGTGTATCCGGAAGGAAGAAAAATGTGAGACCACCAACAACAGATGTCACCAATCCGAGAACAAGAAACATAA